TGGCAGCAGAAGGATTTAGCTGTGAGAACAGGAGGAATTATCTCCCTCTGTACATTCTGAGCAAGACAGGAAACTGTAGAAAGAGACCTCTCTTATCCCTTTTGGTTACCATTTGTCATTTCTCCACAACTATGCTAAGTTGCCCTAGAGGACCAGAACCTGGTGTTGTATTTTTATATTTGTATTTTGTACTTATATGTACACATATAGTATCTTCTGGTTTCCCCCAGTCAACTAACAAGCTCCCTGCATATTACATAGAAGACTCTCAATGTTTGTTACCATATTAGTTGATGGATCCTAGGACATAGAAAGAATTCCCAATTCTTTGAACACCATACATACATATATTGAGCATCATACGTGCTATAACCTTTTGTCACAATATCAAGAGTTATAGAAATGTCACCTTGTTCCGTGAAATTGTGCTCAATAAAAGAGTGCAAATTAACTAGTTATCTTTCATTTTGATGAACATTTTAATTATATAGTTTTAGCCAACATTCTTTCTTAATTTCTAGAAAATTCTTCCAACCTAAATGTTTTCAAAGTCATGCTTACAGAGTCTTTGATAGGGAATATATTGAGATCAACTTGTTCTTTCTTGGATATTAATATTCACATTTGCTATTAAAGGCAGAATCGAACCGTTTTCAAGATACAAAGCGATTCCTTCAAGATTATTACAGGGCAATGGAATCCAAAATCCCAATAGATGACAGCAAGAAATTAGCTCGAATCCCACTGGTCCAAATGGATAGCAAGGACATTTTGGAAAGCCAACAGAGGTAAGGCAGATTATCATATTATACTGTAACAGTTTTGAACAAAAAAACTTTGTGATTTTAAATTAATTACTGCTGTAAGGAATTATAGACCTCTACCAGTTTTATGTAAGGACTCAAGTAGTTCTGTGTATGTGTATATGTGTGTGTGTTATTACATTATGTAAATAAAAATGGAAGGAGGTTCTGACTCTTCTTTTACAAGTGAGGAAACCAAGAAACAGTAAAGACTCATAGTATTTAATTACAACCTCATGAGACTGACTCAAAGACTTACTACTCGTCTAACATCAGATATCTGCCAGCAAAAAAAAAAATATGAACCTGGTAATAAGGTAGAAGACAAATTATATTTTTAGCCAAATAAATCCTGTGCAACATAAATGTTTATAAATAATTGTTTTATAGACCCAATGGTTCGAGATAGGGCAAGGGCAAGATCCCAAAACCTGAGAAGCTATGAACAGATAGAAGAATATCTTGATAGAATGATGTTAACATGATATGTTTACCAACTTGAAGACGTTAAAAGAGAGCCAAAAGAATTAAAATTGAGCAATTAAAATCCAAAATCCTTCAAAATTAATTCACTAAAAATTAATCAAATATATGAAGAATTAAAACAATCTTTCCTCATAATCAGTAACCAGGCCATGAGAAACAAATACTGTAGATCTGAAGAGGAAAAAAGGAAGAAGTTAGATTTATAAAGTAATATATAGGCACTGAATATTAAATTTAGATCTCTAAGGAGATAAGTGATGGATTTTACATTGAAAGTAGGGTATTTTTTTACAAGCTTGCTCAGTCAGTGTAGGTGTCAGGAGCTGCACAAATTGTACGCTAGTGAATATATTTTAAAGTCAAATGGATCTGGTTTGAATCCAGGGTCTGTCACTGAATAGCTATATGTAAATAAATAAAGATAATCTATTTGTCTGTTCATGTCCCTCCAACTCTTTTAAGCCTCAAGTTTCCTTCTTTGTAAAGTAGTGTTGTGCAGATAGCAGAAAATGAAATCTACAGAGAATTTGATGCCAGATCTTGGAATCAAAATACTTGAGGTCAAGTCCCCATAACTCTCAAAACTTACATGCCATATTTTAATTGTGAGAATTGCATGTTACTGCTTTGTTTCTTTTACTCCCCCTCATTCCAAAAATGATCTGAAATGGCCTGAACAAGTAATTTATACCATGATAGAAAGCCTATTTCTTTTCTTTCTAGACTGCCAACATCTAGTCTCATCATGTCCCTGCCAGGCCCATGTCTACACAGGAACACACAAAAGGAAAATCTCCTCTTCCTCCTCCAAACACAAGAGAAATGTTCAGCAAGCTGTTGAGAGAATTTTGGAATTAAAAACAATAAGAAATTTCAAAGGCAATAAGCCCCTCAGAACTATCAAGAGAGGCCAAGTTTCCATATCTAGAGTGACAGTGCATTCTGTTCCTAGAGCAGACTTGTAAGTCAGGCAACATTAATGGGCAAGCTATTACTGTTGGTTACTAGAATGAAACCTGGAAAAGAACAGCCAGTTCTTATTTTCTGCAAAACAACTCTGCTCCAATCTGAACCTCAAATCACTGCTGTGGTTATCTACTGAAACTGTCAGTCAGTCGATGTTGTCAACCAACCAACCAGTCATCCACAGTCTCTGTAACATGTACAGGGAAACAATCACAGTGTTAAGAATTTTCACATACCCTGTCTACTTTATTCCTCCCAACAACTCTATAGCAATAAGAATAATATTATTATTGTAATACTATTCACAATAATAATGACTAATTGATCAATGAAAAATATTTGTCATAATCATAGTAATTTTATTATATTTACATTATTTCAGGAGTAACCAAACTTCAAAAAGTCAAGAGACAAGCCCAAGTTCATATTTACTGATAGTGACAGAGCTGCCCAGTCCAGACTTTTTCCCAATAAATAAATTCTAAACCCACATTCTTTTTCTAAATGATATGCCTCCACTGCTATCCTCCAAAGCAAGATGGTAGGAAACACGGGTTATACTGTAGTAAACTTGTAGAAGTGACCACACAAACTTCACCCTAACTTATTGGACATATGAATCACTGTTGAACTGGAGTGACTCTGGTTCAGCCTTATTTGATTATTAAAATGTAATTAAATTCATGGATAGATGAGTAATAGATTCTCAACACACTGCCTTTGCGGGCACAGTACACTGCCAAAAATTTAAGCACTGTCAAAAATCAGAGTGTCAGGTTCAAGAAATCTTGTCTGATGCTTCCAAACATAGTAAAACCAAGCTAATTGTTTGCTGGAGTTCACAGTCATCTTTCTGAATTACTGCTCTGTGACTCCAGGAACTGGAGTCTAGTCTAGAAAACCAAATGCCCGTTCCTGTTAGTGATCCAGACTCTCCTCCTCAAGTTTCAATAACAGCCCCCAACCATGGAGCCCTTTGCTTTTCCTATTACCAAAGGTGGATCTTAGTCACAATAAGCATTCTTCCTGCTAGGTCGCTCCCTGCTTCTGTTAACGTTTAAGATCCTGAGATCCTTCAGGGATAGGATATTCCCAAGGACAATTCTAAAATTTCTACATCGGAGCAGCAATGTGGGAAGCAGGAGAGGGAGCTTGACTTTGTGTTCTCACAGCAACTTTACAAAACAAAGAGAAAACCTTCTCTTTCCACAGTAAGAAGAGGAAGATTGCTAGAGGGCTCCCGGCCCACCACCAAAAACCTGCTGTCTCTGTGTGGGAAATCCCTTTCCGATTTCACATTCATCATGCCAGACTTTCAGCTGTCCACTTCAGGATGCCAAATCATGCTAGCAGAGCACACTTAGAAAAGTTTTGTTTGCTTTGGTTTTTCATGATTGACTATTTGATTTCTCACTCATTGGAAATATATGGAATATGCTCTGGACGAGTATCAAAATTGCATTTCTTCAGAAGCACCATGGTTTTTTGTTTTGTTTGTTTGTTTTGGCCAGGGCTGGGTTTGAACCCGCCACGTCCAGCATAGGGGGCCAGTGCCCTACTCCTTTGAGTCACAGGCACCACCCTATAAGCACCATTGTTTAATGCTTTGCTTTACAACTATGAAAGATTAAGCCTGAAATTTCTATTTTCTTGTTGTTTGTTTTGAGTTTCCTCTTAAATCACAAAGACAAATGAATTCTATCTTTTATAAGCTCTTCTCCATAAAAAAGAATTCTCCCAGGAAAACTTTGAAAATTGAGATTAAACCAAGACAACAAAATTTAGAAAGTAACATAAATTCCAAAAAATGGAATTCTGTGAAGTAACACTTTTGTATTTCTTTTGTTTGTCTTTCAAAGAATTCCTCTAGTTCCTCGATTATCCATTTCTCCAGAAAGAGTTACATCCAAATCAAGACTAAAATCAATACTGAAGAGCAGGATCGATTACTCTCTAGAAAACGTAGAGTTAAACTTTGAGGCGGATGAGAAGCTGGTGATGGACACCTGGCAGCAGGCTTCTTTAGCAGTTTCGCAGATGGTAAGCAGTGGTTATTCCTTTTCCTTTTGTCCTGTCAAATCATCAAGTACCAAGGTTGCTAAAACCCCATCACTAGAAAATGTATGTAGTGTTTTCAAGCATTGTATAAATTTATGCCTTCAAGACTTTTTTTTCTGAAAGAAATAGAAGGAGAATTGATTCGGTTAACAACTATTTGAGAGCATGGAAGGAGTGAACCAACACTTAGATTATTTTCAGAGCCGGACTAAGGGCTAAAGACCTAGTCAAGGAATGGTAAAGCAGCAGGTTGGGTATAATACAATGGGGGAGGGGGAGACTGTAGCCAAGTGGAAGTCACATACCTGTCTTTAAAGGCATATGCTACTTCACCCTGGTCAACTTTGCCATTTAAGAATGAGACCCAGCATGGCCAGATTCCTCATTTTCCAAGAAAAGCCAGAAATTCAGATTTTTGTGTAAAACTACTAATTTTAACATGTAAGATATGAAATAAAACATTCTTAAAAATACTACAGAGAGCCAAGTACACCTGACCTACAGGCTCTAGTCTGCAACCCCTCAGCGAGGCACTTTTCCTAAGTCACCAGTAAGGTAAGTATTCTTATCCTCTTTATGATGGAAAATGAAGGGTCAGAAAGGCTGAGAAACTTGCCCAAGGTGTCCTAGCAGGTAAGCGTTGAAAGCAAATTTGAATGCAGGCCTGTATGACTTCAAAGTTCATGTCCTTTCCATCCAAATTAAAAGGAAAAGGAAAAGAAGGCAGATAATTTTAATGCACATGGCTGTGTCACATCACATAGAAGGGACACACAGAGTTTAACTCAGGTCTTCAGCACTCTTCCTTCATTCGCCGGGTCCTGGGGCCACCAGGATGGTGTCTCTTTTCACTCTGCGCTAGTCCTTCTTGGAGCTTCCTTAAAATACACATATCTCATTCAAACAGAAAGCAGTGTCAAATTCCAGGAGATTTTGGGACAGAGGTAGAAACCTTCCCTCACAGATCTCACAGCAAACAGAATTTCTTTCTGGGATATTCCAAGTTCTTTCTTGGCCTCTCTGCCTCCTGCCTTGAGATTAAACCAAGACAACAAAATTCAGAAAGTAACATGGTCACAAAAATAGAATTCTGTGAAATAGCAACTTCATGCTTCTTTTGTTTGTTTCTTTTTCTTTTGTTCCCCTTCTTTCTTCCCTCCCTCTTAGAAGCAAGTATAAACTCCTCTTACTGTCTTGCTTCTTTGAAAAAGTATTTCAGGGTGGATTTTGACACACATAAGAAAAATACATGAAGTTTCATTGCATGGCTTAAGGAACACACTTAAAATAAAAAAAAGGACTCCTGGCCCCTCTGGACAGGGGCAGAATTGGAACAAGGGCTGCACCTGCCTAGTCCTGCTGAGCCCCTTCCCAACCCAATCCTCCTTCATACTCTCTAAAGGTGCCCACCATCTTGCCTTTTTCAGAATCATTTTCTTGATGTTCTTTACAGTTTTATTATCCAAATCTATATCTCTAAGGGCTACAGTGTAGCCTTTTCTGCTTTTGAGATTTAAGTAAACGGACTCAAACCTTTCGTCTTTTTGTGTTTTCTTTTGCTCTGCGTTCTTGGTGTGATTCTTTCCACCTTGTTCATTTTTGTTACCGTAATGTGTTATGTTACATGAATGTGTTGTGGTTTATTTAACCAGCCTGCTGCTGATATATATTTGGTTTTTCAGTTTGGTGCTGTTAAGGATAGTACTACTATCAACATGATAGTACTACTATCAACTATGTTCCCTGGTACCCATGTGCACACATCACAAGTGTGGCGTGTGTACCTCACAGTATGCACTATCTTCAACATCACTAGACAATACCGTAATACTACTCCAGCCTTTGTAAGTAATGATAAATCCTTTCCCCACTCCATGGCGCTGTCATTTTTGTCATAAATTAGATGACCACATACGTGTGTCTGTTGCATTGCTCTGTTGGTCTATTTATTTGCCAGCCCCACAGCAGTATCATCATACCCTTTCTTGTTATCTGGATGAGCTAATCTTCCCACTTTGTCATCTGCCAAGAGCATTTTGGATTCTCTTGGCTCTTTACTTTTCCATATGGATTTTCAAATCAGCATGCCAAGATTCATGAAAATATTGGCTGTGGATTTTTAAGGCAGTGTTTACCATAGTATGAGCATTCCTTTTATAGTTTACTATGAATGTTTTTATGAATATTTTCAAATGCCTTTTCTATATCTAGTAATGTTATGACATGACTTTTTCTCTATTTTTTGCTAATGTGAAAAATTATACTGATCAATTTTCCAGTGTTAAACTTACATGGCATTTCTGGAATAAGTTCAACCTTGTAATGAAGCATTGTCCTTTTTACATATTGTTGGATTTGTTTTGCTAATAATTTGTTTAAAATTTTTGAACATTTGTTCATGTGTGAAAGAACTCTAAATTTTCTATTACTATTCTTTTCAGCTTTTAGCATCCAAATAGTAATAACTTCGCAAATTGGATCCAAACATGTTCCCTCTTTCTATTCTTTGGAAAACTTTGTGAAAGTTGGGAATCTTCTTGAAAGGTTTAGTGGCATTCCTAAGATGCCATTTACGACAGTTGTAGGGAGAATTTTTCTTGCTCTCCTCAACCCAAGGATTCATTTTCTTTAGCACTTTAATGAGATTTTCTGTTTGTTCTGTTTCTTCTGTTTTAATTTCTTCTTGCATTGGTTTTGGTAAATTTTACTTTTGTTAAGAATTTTTCCATTTCTAAATGTTTAAATTTATTGACATGAAGTTGTTTAAAATATCCTCTTATTTTTGTTATTGACATATCCACACTATTGATTTGATATCCACTTTGCCGGTTCTGATCTTGATTATTTGTGCTTTTCTTTTTTATTGATCAGCTTAGGATCAGAGGGTTATCAATTACATCAGTCTTTCCGAAGAACTAACTTCATTGATTCATTTTACTGTGTTTCTTTTTCTTAATTCTATTTTCTTCCTCCTATATTCCTTGGGTTATTTTGCCATTTGGTTTCTAAGGCTTTGAAATATTCATTAATTTTCTGTCTTTTTTTTTCATATATGCATTTACCACTATAAAGTTCTCTCTGGGACTTGCTTTATCTTTCTCTAAAAGTTTTTGATATGTTATTCAAAGCATTTTAAAGATATACCAAAATGGTATGTTTCTTTCTAGCTTGATTACATTTTAATCAGATAATATTTTCTCATAAATCTTTTTTTTTTTTTTTTTGACAGAGTTTTACTACGTTACCCTTGGTAGAATGCTGTGGTGTCACAGCTCACAGTAACTTCAAACTCTTGGGCTCAAGCTATTCTCTTGCCTCAGCCTCCCATGTAGCTAGGACTACAGGCACCCACCATGGCTATTTTTTTGTAGTTGTAGTTGTCATTGTTGTTTGGCAAGCTGGAGCCGGGGTGGAACCTTCCAGCCCTGGAGTATGTGGCTGACTTCTTAGTCGCTGAGCTACAGGCATTGAAGCCTCATAAATCTTTTTTGAAATTTGTTTTATGGCCAGTTTTGGAAATGGTATGTTTTCCCTTGAAATATATGTATTCATTTAATTATTTGATATACAAATACATTATTTAATGTATCCTTTAATATGCATATATTTCATGGTTTATATGTAAACATTTGAGTATATTTATTTTCTTTATTACATGCATTTAAATATATAACATCTACATTATTGCTCAAATCTTCTTTATCCTCATTATCTTATTAATTCTCTGCTATGAATTATCAAGAGAATTATGGTAAAATCCCCTGTAGTTTTGTCAATTTTGCTTTACACATATTTGAGACAATGACATTGGAATATGTAAATTGTAAATTCAATCTTTCTGGTGAATCGGACTTTTCCTTATTCTAAAGTTGTCTTTGTCTTAATGCTTTTGTTTTATAAATTATACTTTTAGATATTGTTTACATGCCACGCCTCTTTTCATTTTCAGCCTTTTTGTGTCTTTCTTTTCTTTCTTGCTTCCCCTCTGTAGTTTGGACGTGATGAATCCTGTTATTCTTCTCTTGCTAGTCACCCTAGGAATTATACCATGAATTATTAACCCATCAAAATGTAACTGTTATTTAGTCAATAATTCATGGTGTTTTTCCTGAGTAACCACTAAGTGAATTAGTGTGTGTTACTTTCAAGCTACCATAGGGGAAAAGTTAAATAATTTAAAATACTCAATCCAAAAGAAGAAAAGAAAAATATTCAGGACAAGCAATACAAATAGCACTTAGCCAAATGGTAGATTTATAGCCCAAATATATATCTATAATTACATTAGGTTAAAAAAAGGGCAAAATCAACTAGTAAAAGAAAATGATTGTTAGATTTTCCAAAACAAAGGCATACGATGCTTTTATACACACAGAAATGATTTTTCATTGTTGACCGAGGAGGAGAATGGGTTTGGGTGATGACCTCCACTGGGCCACCATAGACTCTCATGCCCACGACCTAGAGGCCTAGTGGCTCAGCCCTCTGTATCCCGGCCAGTACCAACTCTGTAAACCTTCAATATTCTGACCAGATACTGCTTATGGCGTTTTCTAAGGGCATTACAATTTCAGTGCCTTGGCCAGTGCCATTTTTCCTCCTGAGATATGCTCCTCCTTTCTTCTATCAATAACAGTCACATCCCAAGCAAAGGTCAGGGACTGATCCCATCAATGTTTTATTTTTTATATTTATTTATGTGAAACAACAGAGCCTACAAAAACAAAACATCAGTGGGTCTGTCCCTGGCCCCCTCTTTGGGACGTGACTTTTTGAAATCCTACACTTTGTCTTCAGAACTAGTTCTTGTCTTAATTCCTCATCCGTTAATTACCTATTTCCTGAAGCCCCAGCCTTCTGGGATCATATGCTCTTCCTGTTCCTTTGGTCTCTTCCACTTGTTCGACTCTTAGTAACTAGGTTGTATTTTATAATGTGTAGCTTGTTAAATGTTTGCCTGAATACTTAATTGGAGTCTAAAACAATTTATATACCATACACTTGACATAAAGCCCACATCTAATGTAGCACTAAGCCCTCGGTACAGTCTGGAGATGCTGATCACTCTGTGGTGATAATGCTGATGTCAATATTAGTGATAATGGTAGTGACAGAGACGGTCACTGCAGAGACCACAGTAAGTACCAAGCATCAGAGAATGGGAAAACAGATCCAGAAGCTCCAGAAAGTAATATAAATTATTCTTATTGTTCTGTTTATTACATAAATGTAATGTTCATGTCTTAGGAATAACATTAAAATCATCTAGGGAAATTACACTGAAAATTACATTCTTAGCAAAATAAAGTCATACAGCAAAAAGAGCACTAGTTACACCTCTTGATTAAGCTGTGCAATTTTAGGCAAATCACTTAACCTCTCTGAGTCTTTAATTTCCAGTCTGTGACATGGGCGATACTCTAATTATCATTCTTTTCTTGAATGGTTGAAAAGATACAATGAAACTATATATATATAAATGTTTGAGAAACATTTTTATGTTTCTAAACACAGGTGCTATATATTTTAACAGATCATTATGTTAAGAAATTTGATTGAAATTGTACCATTTTCCTTGTAGATTTTCAAGAACCTCATACAAAGCATAGGAAGAAGGGCTGTTCAGTAATTAATATTACTAATAATTGTATTTGAATCCTGCTTTTATATGTCTCTAATATACTTTTACAACTTTGATGTCACATGACTTTGATGTCAAAGGAGGCCTCTGAGTTCCAAATGAAACAGGTGTGACTCAGTAAATTGTTGTGGGGCACCATGTACCTGCTAAGATTAGGGCAATTGAAATGAGAGCACTTTTACTCAGGCTTTTTTCTACACAGCAGTTTCACCAAGTGCTAGCCATTAAGTAGGCTATGTTAATTTGGGGGAAAACTTCCTTCTAATTAGCAAGTATGCAATGATTCAAAGAAACAAGTCATATTTTTAATGCCCACAACATCAAGGAATTATACCTAAAGTTCTTTCCAGCCTTCTAAGCTAGATTGCTGAATGAATTGTGAATTATGTTAATTTTTGATAGAGACCCAGAGGTCTTTCAGGGAAGCGGGCTAGAAAAATGCAGATAATTATGACGCATAATTAGGCAGATAATTATGATAATTATCATCATCATCATCACAAGGTTGTTTACAAAGAAGAAAAATCCAATTTTGAAAGAAATTGCTAACTTACTGTGCTTTGCAGGAACAGATTAAAAAATGAATTGCTTGCAATTTAGTGGGGAATTTTAACAAGTCTGCTTTCAGCTTTACCAAGAATTTGCAAGTACAGTATATGGTATGAAAGCCATTTTATCAAAAGGGCATCTGGTAAAAAAAGAAAAGTAAAAACAAAGACTGGTTTGCTTTCTGAAACCTTTCTGTATCCCTCCAAAGTTCAGTTGATATTGAAGAAAGTGTGGGTACATTCCTTGGAATATGACTATTTTAAAAGAAAGTCCACTGATCAATAAGCATGTACTGGGCATCCCCTTTGAGCATAGCACAGGTGCTCGAAGCTATGAAGGGTACAAATAAGTAGGACTGGCTTTGCTCTGAGGACCATAAAGCCCTCTTTGGAGGCTATGGTGAGACGACACCCATGGAACACTTGGGAACAGTCACATGCTGCCATGGGGCATGAAATGTGGCAATGATGTGAAACAGTCAGGAACTACCTGGTCCATCTCCGCTGCAGGACTGTGAGTCTTTGAGGATAGAGACTGTGCCGTACTCACGCTTCTGCTCACTTTCGTTAATCTTCCTCTTTCTCCTCCCAACCCCACACCTCATTCTCCCCAGAAATTATATCAGGCTGGAACTCAGTAAGTGCTTGAATAAATAAGTTCTCAAGAACCTCCATTTTTTCATCAGTTGCCATTGAGATTCTAAGGTTTTCACCATATGTAGCTGCTCCTTCTTTTGGGATTCTCAGCTCTCATTTCTTAGGGCTGATCTTTACCTCTCCAGGACCAGCTGGACTTACTTCAAAAAGTCCAGAATTTCTAGCTACAGGCATAACCCCAGTGGCATACGCTCCAAGATGAGTAGACATATGCATGTATGTGTGTATACGTACATATTAATGCACATACATACACACATGTATACATCCATGAGGTATAATGTGATGCTTTGATATATATGTACTCTGCGGAATGATTAAGTAAATTAATTAACATAACGTCACCTCATTTACTTATCATTTTTCATGATGAAAACATTTAAAATTTACACTTTTAGCAATTTTGAAATATACATGACATTATTATTAACTGTAGTCACCATGCTGTGAAATTGACAGCAGAACTTACTCCTCTTGTCTAACTAAAACTTAGTACCCTTTCCCATCCCACCCATTCCCTCACTCCAGCCCTGGTACCATGATTTCACTCTCTACTTCTGTGAGTCCAACTTTTTCAGATTCTACATATAAGTGAGATCATGCAGTAATTGTCTTTCTGTGCCTGGCTTATTTCATTTAGCATAATGTCCCCCAGTTTCAACCACATTGTTGTAAAACAAGGTTTTTCTGCTGGCAGAAGTGCAGAGCCTGCCTCGAGGAGAGATGGCAGGATTCCAGCAGTGCATGGCCCTCCTGGTTGGGGAAGGACAGAGCTTCTCCATTCAGCAGCTAGCACAGAGTGACAAAACAACTACTCTCTCAAGTCAGGACACTTGTGAGAGTAAAAGGAGAGGCTTGCTGGAATGCAGAGAAGCTGGAAGTCAGTTGAGTAGAAGAAGCTATGAACTTTGAGGTTAGGCTATGGGATAGGCCATGCTCATAACTCTGAGTCTTCCTGGGAGATAGCCAGTGCCTGAATGGAAAGGAATCCCAGGATTTGTGTCCATGACTCAATTAATATAGGCAAAAAATTATATGCATTCCAAAAATAAGTTGGTGGAGAGAATGAAAATATCTTGTTCACTGTATACATAAAGCATGGTTATGTACACAGTACATAAACAAACACACTTCTGCAGTATTAAAATTTCACAGGAAGGAGTGCAATTTAGGGAAAAATATCAAAGAAAAAGAATTCTGTAGGAGATCAGTTGTGAATTTTAAAAAAAGGTTAAGAAATGCCCCAAACTGGAGGCCAAGAGATAACAGGAACTTAGAAGAATGGCAGATGTCAAATTCATAGAGCCTAAGATTAAAAAGAAAGGAATTTTCACGTAACCATGGAGTCGTCACAATCTGGAGGTGGCAATGAGGAAACAGAAGATGCTTTGCAGACAGAGCTTGAGAGCGTGAGCATCTTTTGCACAGATGGCTGTAGAAAAGCTGTATCCTGGAAAAGGGCCAGGTTTCTGCTTAAGCGAAACATCACAGTGTGTGTTTTGTAAAGATTGAGTACGTAGGCACGATTATTTACAGTGGAGTGAGTTTTCAACAGAATCTAGTAATGACTAAATCTAAATGGTTAGCATATTTTACAAATGTTGCATTAAATGAGATAGTGCTGTCATTTAACCAGGTGGCTGCTGAAATTCATCAGAGGCTCATGGAAGAAGAAAAAGAAAACCAGCCAGCAGACCCCAAAGAAAAATCTCCTCAGACAGCTTCAAATAAAAAAGCCAAAGTGGAACAACAAGCACCCAAGAAAAAATCAGAGGACAAAAAAGCCAAAGGTAGTTAAGAGTTTTAGCACCCAGAATCCTGGATGCTTAAACCTCTCCTTGGTAGAACAAGCATTTAACCCAACATATTAGCTTTGAAACCACTAAGCTACTGTCTGTTAGGTTTCAACTGGAGCCTCAGCCTTCTAGAAACTGTGATGTTAGTTGGCAAATTGTATTGCATATGAATCCCACCTAATTTGTTTACCCAGCCAGCCAGATGTACCCAGGACAAAGTAAATCTTAAGGACTATTTTGAATGTAGTAAAGGAACTCCCAAGACAGTACTATGTCATTTGAAAAGTCTGTGTAAAAGGGCTGACACTTGTTAGTAACAGAGTGAAGTTGAAAAGCTATATGTTAAGTATGAGTTTCAAGCAAGTCCTTCTCTCCTGGACTTTAGGCCTCCTACCTAAATCTCATGTCAGAAGCATAATGAAAAGCAGAGGAAACACAACTCTACTGGGAGAGACCTTATTAACCTTCTGGGTGGCTCTGGCACAAACATTACCCTTCCCTCTTAAAGATTCACTTGTGTATTTTGAGGTAACTTGCAGCAAGCGAGAAGGGGTGGCATACAGTAAATCAAAAATAAAAATGAAAACCACAACTCTGGTTCCTGCCCTGATCCAGCTGTACTCTGGCAGGAGAGACCACATTTGACCAGTCATTTTTCTTTGGTAGGGGAGGTACTATACCTTCAGAACAAGGTCACCTCACTCATCCTGGGGGATAGGGGAACACTTCCTAGATGGATGGCATGTAAGCAGCCATGAGAGGAGTTAAGGGAAACTACTGAAGCTGGAGAAGGGTCAGTGGCACTTGAAGAGAAGGGAAGAGTAGTGTCTCCCTGAAGAACACACCGCTTTAGCCCATCTCAGATGGTAAAAATAAACAGAACATGTAGTATTTAAAGGAAATGCTTCCGTTTGCTTTAACAGAATAACTGAGTCCAATCCCTTAATCTTACAGATGACAAAATAGAAATACAGAGAGATTAATCTCTCATTCATCTATAACTTTTATACACACTTACTATGACAATGAGCATATTTTAATTTCCTTGTTTACATTTATGTCTTCTTCACAAGTTGAGGTTGGAGTCTCAAGAAAGGTTTATTAAACTGAACAGACTTGTATAAACTGGGCCTGCAACTAAATTCACACTGCCACATCCCATGAAATTCTTAGTCAACTACTAACAAATCCTTACTTTCTAATCTTCCATGTAATCACGGATCTAGTTAAGTTCTAATTACAGGATAATAACATAAGTTACTGACTCTCCCTCATCATCTACATTTCAGCCATCTCTTCTTGAAGTTATTCTCTGGTCTTTTGGTGAAGAACTGGGAAACACTTTGCTAATACAAGCTCTCCCTTATGGAGTGACACTTGTGCAAGGTGTCTAATGGCATCTACAGTACATTGAGGTTTGCTCATTTCTGTACCCAAACTCTGGATTTCACTATGTTTGGAACCTCTAACCATCTCCACATTTCCTACAACCTCATTTTTCATCCTGCCACACATATGTGGTGTTTTTGCCTTAGTCCATCCCAGACGACAGAGAACTTTCAGGAAAGGACTACCAATGCATCTTACCCATACCAAGAGGACCAGCATTTCTCATTTCCAAATCACTAGAGGTTTTGACCTCTGCAGATTTTGCTTTGTACTCATTTCTTCTACGTACTGGACATACAAACTTGTATGCTGGTAGTTTACTCAGCAATCTTCATTGTCTTTTCAGGTAAATCACCACCTATGGCCGAACTTTCTCCTGTGTTAACAACAGAGGAAATTGCCGAAATGGAAAGGAAAAATGAACTGAGGCTCAAAATAAAAGAAGAACACCTTGCTGCCCTGCAATTTGAAGGTACCAGTTAGAAACGACTGAGATGATGCTTTTTAATAGAAAGTAGAGCCAGAGGCAAACAGGCCGCAACCGGCCATCAGTGGCCCCCAATTGTCTGTAAGAACATACAGCAAATTGATTGGAAAGCACAACCGTCAGTGGGCTGCTTTCACTTGACTGTCTGAGGACTAGATCTGACTGTCAGAGGAGTCAGATGTTATGGCATCGCCTAATCAGTCTTAATTGTCTGCAGAATCTCAAAAGAAACAAAAACAATGTTGGAAGGAGGTCAGAAGAACAATAGTGGTAAATAAAATCTCAAAAAAATTGAAACAAAATGTTTGACAGTTGGTGTGCTTTTGTCCTGAAATAAGAATCATTTGGGCCTCTCATTAGGAAAATAAATCCTGAATGAAGGCTAACAGGTCCCCACTATGAGTTCTTGAGAGCAAAGGCCATAGAAGAGCCAGCCACTTATCCCTGATGCTCAAAGGCTTTCCTCTCAATAGACTGGAGTGTCTCTGTGGTGTATGTTCTTCTTATGGTTCTTTTAATTGCCTTATGATTCATTAAATTTGAAAACATCGGGAAACTAAGCCAACATATCCTATGGAAAGGAAGCATGGTCAGTATACCAGGGGACAAACTGTAAACGTTCATGGGAGGTAAGCTGAGAACATTTACACACTCAGCGACCATCAGCTACTGAGGATGCGTTCCTTTGCCTGCATCTCTCCTTCTCCTCACCCTCTCCCTCCCGTCCTGCTACCTCCTGTTCTGTCATCCCACAGAAGCTGTACCTGCATTACCTGAAGTGAGTTGAATACAGGGAGACCTGTGGTATCAGAAGAGTCAAGACATGGGCTTCTCCCTATGGCCTGTCCCCTGACATCTGATGTCAGTGGTTTACTGATGAAAACTCCATCTTTCAGTTAATTCGTGCATATAGGAAATATTTACTGAGTTTTTACTATGTGTCTCATCCTATGGTAGTTGCATTAGACTTGCACATATATGTACAACAAACTCAGTAAATATTAAGAATGAAAAACAAACTCAGTCTAGAGGCAGACAAATGCACGCAATCACTTATACCATCAGTTCCCAACCCCTGGGCTGCGACCCTATAGTGCCTGTTAGGAACCAGGCCACGCTGCATGGCAGGATCAGAGCAGTGGGCAAGGGAGCAAAGCCTCATCTGTATTTCTAGCTGCTCCCCTCTGCTCACATCACCACCTGAGCCCCACCTTCCATCAGATCAGCAGCGGCATCAGAGTCTCAGACTATAAGCTGTTCGTGGAAGGATCCAGGTCACGCCCCTTATGAGAACCTAGCGCCTGTTGATCTGAGGTGGAGCTGAGGTGGTGAAGCTAGTGCTGGGACCACCACAAGAAAACAAGCTCAGGGCTCCCACCAATTCTGCGTTGTGCTGAGTTGTAGAATTATTTCATTACATATTACAATGTAATAAAGTACAGAATACGTGTAATGTGCTTGAATCATCCCAGAACCACCCGATGCCCTACTCCATGGAAAAACTGTCTTTCATGAAACAGGTCCCTGGTGCCAAAAAGGTGGGGCCCTGCTAAATTTATACTAGGTTGTGATATTGGCAAAAGGTATGTGGGACAAAGGGGGAGCAGAAAGGACTTCACAGAGGACCTAATGCCTGAGCTGAACTGGAAGGTGTGGAGTTTCCCCATGGACAAAGTGGGGCAGGAATGGAGAGAAGAAATATGCTACACTCAGGGGAAGGAGCAGCTCAGAAGTATGAGACATGTCCTAGAAAGGACTGACTTGGAAGATGGGGAGGCCAGACCATAGAGGACCATAAAGGCCCTGCCAAGGAAGTTAAATTTTTCCCTTACGGCAACTAAGAGCTAATGGAAAATTCTGAGAACAGAGTGATATGATCACATCTATATGGGGGCCAAATTTCTCAGGATAGTGTGGAGGTGGATTTGGATTTGGGGTGGGGAAAGAAAGTTAAAAAAGCAGAAGGCTGTTGCAACAGTTTCGGTAAGAGATAATCAGTGCCCCAACTGGGCCAGCAACAATGGAAAAAGCACAGAAGAGAGACTGGAAAGATATTTTGGAGATAAAAGTGCCAGGAGTAGTAATAGACCGGGGAGGGGGGGCACAGAGTTTTTGCCCATTTTAGTGGTGCTAAGAAGTACAATGGCGTTGCCACTGCAAGATCCTCATGTAGAGAGATGAGCGAGAGATTATGTACCTCTCTCCCTTTACTGAAATTCAGAAACTGTGTGTGTGTTTTCACATGTTTTCAGTCATTTGTCACTGGGTATAGCTGTACAGTGCAATAAATGTAGAGCTCAATTATAACTGTGGTTTAGATGATTTCTCAAATGACTCTACCACATGTTACATTTTCTTTCTTAATAAGATGGATATTATTTTATCCAGATCAATATATATTAAACGTGCACCTAAAGCCTCACAAATTGTAGCAGGGGTGGTTTAAAAGTGAAGCCGTAGGCTGGGCACACACCTGTAATTTCAGCACTCTGGGAGGCCAAGACAGATGGATTGCTTAAGCTCAGCCTGAGCAAGAGTGAGATCCTGTCTCTACTGAAAAATAAATAAATAAATAAAAGAATAATAATAATAAAGTGAATCTATTCATTAGAAAGTTCATGTACATATATATACATTTAAAAATCCCCGTTTCTCTTTTTAAATAGAGGTGGCCACACAGTTTCGACTTGAACTGATAAAGACGAAAGCATTGAATGTTCTCGAAAATTTGATAACAAAGGTGATCGACGTATATAAACTCATGGAAAAATGGCTTGGTGAAAGGTATTTGAATGAAATGTCCAGGTAAAGTACTGCATCACTTTTTAAAAATATACTTAATTCCTGAGCGCCAAAATTGACAAAGACTTTTAAGGTGTTTACAAATTTAAGTTACATTTACAAATATAAATTTTGACTTTTTAGGAACTCCCATGTCTAAACATGTAAAGTTAACTTTCCTGTCACATTTGCATAGACTGTTTACTAACAGTGAAGCATGTATCAAAGGGTTCTGTTCTAAGATCCAGTTTTGTACATTATTTATGAGTTCAGTTTTCACACTGCTCAAGATCATAGGTAATTTTGAAATATTTTTCAGAAGTAAAATAATTCCATATCTTTGTTATGTCAGGCTTATATGAATTAGAGCCAATTAATGGAAGATTAAAAAGCCATTCACTGGAATGTTTTGCTGGTTAGGCTGATTCCCCTAGAAGAACAATACCAACTTCTACTTTTCTGTTGATTTCCAAAGACTTCCCAGACTTACTGCTAGTGAGGGGCAGTGAATCTCATTCTCTTAATGTTCCCCTTCAAGGAGAAAAAAGGCAGCTAAAAAGAATGGAAATAATTCCCATGTGAGAGTCAGCAGATGTGATTGTCAGGACCAGGAATCCCCCGCTGTCCACCCGTTAGTAGCATATATGATTACTTTGAGCCTCCTAGGTTTCATGCATACAAGGAAAGAGTCTAGTCAAATTATTTTCAGAGGTTTCTACTAGATCTAGGCTCTGTGGTTTACTACCATTTACAATAAACATTTACTGAAAATTCAGAAGTTGCTAAACAAATAGAATTCAAATGGCATGTATTCTCAGAAGCAAAGATTGTCATCTAAAAACAGTTGTAGCTTTCCCTGTTCCTTATCTCATAATGAAAGTTCTTCTGTCAAATAGTCCACATAACTGTTTAGAACTATTGCTCATGATTTAAAAAATATAAAAAAATACAAACAGAAATATATCTCAGTGTAGTCATCTAACTGCAGTAATCCTTAAAATAGTTTTACTACTAGATAACTAGCATCACAGAGCAATAATATTCCCTTATGGGTTCTTTCCACCACATAGAAATGAAGGAATACTTTATTCATTCCTAGGATTCGTGGATCCAATCCATGTGGCCATCAAGTATAAATGCATATTATTTTATAAGATGTACTCATGTTTCTCAGATTTATATTGCATGCATTTTGTGTGTGTGTATGCCCTTAAATCTCAGATGCTGTCACGAATTGTGGTCACAGTAGTTAAAACCTATAAATAGTCACACCAAAGGAACAAAAAAAAAAAGAGGAAAAGAGCAATTAGACCCCTTTGAGCTTCAAATCTTGCTTTTTATTTTTCTGGCATTTTCCCCCCCTCCCATTCTTGAGAAAGTTACTGTTCATAACCTTCCACCAGGTGGCGTGAATCTGTTTTAACATTCTGGGTAAGGCTGGGTCTGAGGGTACTATCTCTTGAGTCCCTCCTAAGGTAAACTCAGTGGCTATCCAGTGCCCTTCTCCTCTGTCCCCAGCACCCAAAAAACGCTAAAGCATAAACTAATTGGCTAATACATGGACATTCACAAAGACAGCATTCTGGAGTTGAATTCAAGGGAGTCTTTTGAAAACACAGTCACTAATATTATTTCTTAAATTTTCAGTGTATACTGTAGTCAGGGTTTCTGAGTAGATTAAATATGCTTTTTCCTGTGATAATCTTTCATGGTAAGTTATAAACAGTACCCTTTACTTAATACTGTGATAGTGTACTTATTCAGGTATAAAACTTCTCTCACCTTCAAAGTCACCTTTAATTGGGCAATTAACTATAAATAGATCCTTAGTAAAGTTTAAATCCATGCCTGATGTGATTTCACACTGATCACCACCAAGTTAGAGAGTGGCATGCTATTGGATCCATTGCCAAGATAAGGAAATTCAGAGACCTTAGGTGACTGGCCCCAGGACCTGTGGCTAGAGACTACCCTAGTACTCAGCTCTCAGTACTCTCTCTACCACATTGTGGTGGCTCCTAACTGTTGTTTCTTATAGCCATGTGACCTAGCTAGGAATTGTTATCCTTTATAAAGATAGCAAACCAACTTCAATGGATTATATGCATCAGAAACTATTCTGACAACCGAATCTTAGATAACATCAAACTTGTTGACATAAAGTTAGAGAAAAGCCACTCTTCTAGAAACACATTATCAAATTTGATTCATGTTACAGTTCATCCTGATTTCACATAAATGTATTATTCCAACTGTCATACTTTACCAGGTGTTGTGCCATAGAACCTTATTCTGGTTCATACTTAGAATGAAATGTAACCTTGACATAATCTTACTCATATAATAAGATAGGTTCTAATACTAATAAAAGCATATTTAATGATTCTCTTTTGTTTATCTTAGTATAACATGTGTAACTATTAGCTATAAAATAAGCAAGTCTTTATTTTGTATCTGCATTTATTTATACCCTGCCCTTTTACAAAATGGACTTGAGGAGAAATCGCAGTTTTTAAACATGCAGGTGGAATTATCTAACTTAGCTACAGAACATTTTCACTTTTGTGTGTATGTCTTATAAGTAGACACTGTTAACCTATTAGTATCTTTAATGGACATAACTTTATTCATTTTACCACTTTCAGCATAGAGAAGTTAACCGAGGTAGCACGCTATTACATCGAAACATCTACAAAAATTCAGAATGAACTGTATTTAAGCCAAGAAGAGTTCTTCATTAATGGCGATATGAAGGTCTTCCCAGATCCTCCCCCACCGATACGTCCTCCACCCATAGAAAAGGAGGAAAATGGCACCCTGACCCTTGAACAGCTTGACAATCTTCGAGATCAGTTCTTAGATATGGCGCCTAAAGGTAGGAAAAACAATTATCATGAAAAGAGCACAAAAAGGGTTCTGACTAACCAGGATGGCAGTCACTTGCACACAAGTAAACTTAGCTCTGTAGGAATGTGCAGCCCTTGCTTTGCTCTAGTTTATCAAATATTTGCTTCACACAACATAAACCTTAAACAAGCCAGAAAATCACAGTGCCTAATGTGTGAGCTGTATGTTGACCCTCATTCCTCATCATTCTCTCTTTTCCTCCCTTGATGGCAAGTTGGTATATTTGAGTATTGCAACATCTGGTAGTTGATAGCCTTTGTGCATGCTTCTAGTTTGCCTTTTGTGTTGGGATTATGAGTTTGTGTTTCTGTCTATGAGTGGAGACCAGAGAATAGAGGACATCTCTTTTATATTTGCTTTTTCCTCTCAGTGCTTCCTAAGCAGAACCAAATAAGCTGGTAACAAAGATTTGCTTACTTAATCGACCAATGTTTGCACATGTACATATGTGTACATGTTTTCCACATACAATTTTTACAATTCCTTCACATTTTATCATTATGGGTCTATAGCATCTGCACAGACAGACCACTTAGGAATATCATCTCCACTTTGTAGGTCTAGACACTGAGTCGCAGAGCACGTAAGCAATTTGCCCATAGTCACTTACCATCAGAACTCTGCAGATCCAAAGGTCTTGCCACCTTCTCATGGAACTAAATTACTTTCCATGAGCGGATTTATTTTATCTTCATAGTCTACTTACTGGGAAATCATCACTTTTCTCCAGAGGGCAGTCAACTTAACACAATGTCACTTAAAAAAAAAAAAAAAAAGTCCAGAATTTCCAGACATTCACAAGAAATATCATTAATAAAAAGAACATTACTCTAGTTTTAACTCAGAAGGCTTCCTTGCCAAGGCCAGCAGGTGATACAGGTGCGTGAGTGAACCCTTGTGCCAGCGGATGTCAGCTCAGCACATCAGCCTGAACAGGCTTCCCACCTGCAAGGCGTAAAAGCACACAGGGCACTGCAGGTGCACACTGACTCTGCTTGGCAGCATTTGGGCATAAAAGAAAGGTGGCCATTGGCAGGTACAAAAAAAAAATCAACTCTATAAAGTCAGCCGATGAAATCCTTCAGCCCTGCCATCAGACACGGTGTACTCTCTTCTCCACTGTGGGAGCCTCACCATTATGTACTTTTCTTGTAAAGTTGCTTTGCTCATTTTATCCTTTCTATTTTCACATATAAATTTAAAAGATATGTGTAAAAAGATCCTACACATGAAATACGATTTGCTTTAATCCTACATTATGGTGACGGGGAGAAAATCGCTTTATTAGTAGATAAAATCTAAAAGCATTTAGGGACAGTTGAGTAAGTGGAAGAGGATTTTGGACAATTATACCCACTTATAATCCTTTTCAGAAGGGAGCCTGGTATTTACGATGACGATGGTGATACATTGTTGGATCCAACCTCAAAACCAGAGTCCATATTTCAACTAAAAGTTTAAAAATAACAAATAGCAGCTGTAACTTGACATGTGTATGTCTGAGAAAATTTACTCAAAAAACCCTTGATACAAAAAGATGTCAACAGATATATCAATCTATTTTCAGAGTATGGCAGAGTAGGACTGTTTTCAGGCTATGGTAGAAATAGCAAGGGAGGGAGAAAAAAGGAAAGGAGAGGAGAAAGAGGAAAACAGTTATAATTTTTCAAAAGAGTAAAAGAAAACCACTTGCCCTAGGGACCTTACAGTGTAGTTAGAAAAGGCAAGCAAAGAAGGGCAGCGCCTGTGGCTCAAAGGAAGAGGGCGCCGGCCCCGTATCCCGGAGGTGGCAGGTTCAAAGCCACCTCGGCCAAAAACTGCAAAAAAAAGCAGGCAAAGAAGAGGATCTGGGTTCTTTCTAGGACACAGTATGAGCATTACATATGAAAGCACGCAGAAAGCCATGCAAGGGAAATCACCGTGCAGGGGGCTGATCAGGGAAACATTTATAGAGTGAAACCTTGGATGGAAAGATCGAAGGGGCCGAAGAGTGATTGGTGGCAAGGATACCAAGGATGTTTTAGGGGATTAGCTGCGGGAAAACCTGCAGTTAGGAGGCCTGAGTGTGGGCACGTGGATGTTCAGCAATGGTCAGGAGACTGCCCTGCTTTGCCTTGCACATCTGCGTGAATTCTTCCTATCTGGAAACCACCGGTCCTGCCCGAGCTGGGGAATTAACCCAAATCTGAGAACCACACTTGAAATTACCACAGAATTTACAAAGCTGTATAATACTGTGGGATTTGGGGATTTTGTTGATTGAGAGTAACTCTCCGTACAAGCAGTTTAAAGCCTTTTCTCTATTAGCTCAATTACACCATTTGAAAAAAATATATATATACTACATAGGCTGTTTTTAGTTATAAGTACAATACTTATCACAGTGTTGGGTTTCAGTAGAAGTAACATTCATTGTCACTATTTTTGGTACATTTATAAAGGAAAGATAAAAGTAGTATCATTCCATTTTCTGCATCTCAGAGTTGCAGAATTGGAGGTTCTTTCCTGATACCTGCAAAATCAGCCTCCTGACATTAGATACCTGCCCTCTCTGAGAATACCCAATAATTACCACTCACCCCTCCTTCCCATCTCTTCTGGCCCCATAGACATCCTCTGACCTTAGTCTTTCTTCCTTGGTTCTGTGATTGTTGTTTACTTTTTAAAAAATTGTTTAAATGATACACACCAGCCATAGTTTGGAATGAAAACGTTTGTTGTATCCTTCAAGAGCTAGAAAACAACCTTTTATAATACATTCCATTGCATGTACCCTAGAATGCTACAATTTCAAAAGATGATCTTTGTGGAAGTGCTAACAAAAGGTTTGAAAGTATGGAGCAATGTGATACCTTTGTAAATGTGAGGTCCTGAGTAATTTCCTGTTTAACTTGAAAGCTGTTCTTGTTTCCAATCCAAGTAATATGAACAGATTTTATACTCTTTCATATATGACCATGTAATCTCCGATATCTAAGATAGAACTTTCATATTTGTTAGAATATTTTAAAGCAGATGGATTTTTCCAAAGGAAAAAGAATCCATATTTGTATATAATAGTCATTATGTTATTAGGCCCACCGTAATCTTTTAGCAAGTGTTGATATTATTAAATTGTACTTTACAAGCTTTAATTAGGCTACACAAATAAAACTATTAAGGGAAAAGGGAAATCTTTGATTAAAACAAGTAACTAAATACTTTTTTATTAAATTATATATACATATATCATGTATACATTAATGCATTTATGGGGTACAATGTGCTGATTTCACATAGAATTAGGAATGCTTACATCACACTTGTTAATATATACCTCATCTCATTTACTTAATTATTGTGTTAAGACATTTATACTCTATATTTAATAGATCTGACATGTACCTTTGCATTACGCACCACAAGTATGATCCCACCATTCACCCTCCCTCGATCTGACTTCCCCCCTCCTCCCTCTTTCATCTTGGGCCATAGTTGTGATCTATTCTTCATATGAAAATGTGAGTGATTATAAATTGGTTTCATAATAGTACTGAGTATATTGGATATTTTTTCTTCCATTCTTGAGACTAAGTAGGATATGTTCCAGCTCCATCCATGTAAACATAAAAGAG